GAGAATGTGTAGTAAACAGTGAATATTTCAGTATAAACTAAAGAATAATGAATATGAAAGATGTTGATAACATATAAGGCTGAACATGATGGGTGGTCAGTGGATGGCTTTGAGTGTAAGGAATGAAGAATAACAGAAAATGATTTGGAAGTAAGAGGTTTTGGGAGTATAATGAGAAGACCTATCTAGTTGGAGCAGAAAGAATAAAGATGCTAAGGTTCTACCACTTGTAGGTCAACTTTGATTCTCTGAATGAATTAACAGTGACAACGCTCTACTGTACTGATCAATATTATTTTTAACTTTAAAAAGTCCCCAGGATGTTAAAAGGCACCAAAATGAATCAAATGAATCAACTCAGGACTCAGTAGGAAACCCAGCTTTCTCAATCTACTGTCCGAACAACCAGTTTACACCAATATTGTCTAACAAAGATATTTAAGTTTAACAGAATTGCTTTAATACAGCTAAAACATCTGCTGCATTTAAAAATAATCTTCCTGCTGCTGCAACATATGGTATCATCAGAAACTTTATTCCAGTGCCCCCAGAGCTTCTGAGACACCTTGAAATGCCATGATTACCATAATGAGGTTTATACAGTTCTCCAAGCTGAAAGAAAAACAATTAATTCATTTTAATATTTAAAATAAATATGGGCCATTTGCATCATCTGGGAGAAGATGCAGGATTATGAAAACTATAATAATTAGAATCTAACTCCCTAAAGAAAGATGCTTCAAGATGTAGCTTCCAGATGGAAAATTCCCCTAACAAGTCGGCTTAAGATGCAAGCTCAGCCTGTCTCAGTCTCTCCTGAATTGGCTCTTCCCACTAAGATTTTAAATGAAGGGCACAACAGGCACAGGTATCTTTATTTTTACACAAAGGAGTTATTATAATATTCATGTAGGTAGAAGTGAAGCTAGAAGCCAAAGTTTGAATTCAATATAACTAGTTAAATAAATATTACTCAGAAGATCCTACATTTCAGCCACTATGCTAGATAAAAACCAGAGAATCCGTTGAATTATATAGAGTAGCTGCCTTTAACTAGTCTTTAGAGGTTGTGGAGAGAGATAAGCACAGATTAGTATATGTCATAAAGTGGGACACATTCTTTAATAGACTTAACTATCATGGCATGTGGCGAGTACAAGAAAACCATCTCAACTCTACCAGGGAGACAAAAGCAAGCCTTGTGGAGAAAGGAATGCTGAGGCAGAAGAGTAGAGACACATTAGGAGGGAGGTGGATTTCCCAGAACTATTAATACATGGCACAGGGTGGTGAAATAGCAGTTTGTGGAAAGAGACATGCAATGATTGAGTTCCATGTGGCATGCTAAAATAGAGATCTGACAAAGAATTTCTTCACTTTGGTGTACACAGCACTTTGAATAATGCCTGGTGCATAGTTAACACTCAGGAAATATATAGCTATTATTGAATGGAAAGCAGTAAGGTTCCACTTAACAGGTTCACAATTTGCTTCAGGATGTCAGAGAAAACCTACTGTCCGGCATTGCTGTCCTTTACTAGGTCATACGTATCTTGTCATCGGTATCTTTGCTAATTTCTTTCCTTCCTCTCTTCTAAGAATTAAAGTCATACTCATCCTCGAGGTCCAATTCAGAGTAAAGACTGAGTCTTATTTGGCTGTCTCTCTACAGCATGAATGGGTGAATAGATAGAAGAATAAATGAATGATTGAATGATCATGGGAATTCTCATAAATCCTTCCAACAAACTACTTCCTCTCTTCCTTCAAGATTTTTGCATGTGTTTTTTTGCTCTTTATGGTGTACTCTTTAATGCCTCTCCACTGAGCTGAATCCTATTCACATGTCAGCTCAGGTAAAATTTTTTTCGATAGCTTTCTACAAGCCTCCAGGTTAGTTTTGACCCATACACTATTGCCATACGTGTCCATGTAGTCATTCATCTTCTACACCAGGTAAACTCTTTAAGGCCAGAAACTGATTGCTAGTCAGCATTATATTCCCAATGCTCAGCAGAGCTCCTGACACATAATAAACCCTCCATAAAGAAATTAATTCACGGTTGAACAAATTAAATGATTAATTTTTTTGTATCCTACCATGAGATAAACATCATGAATACATGAAAAATCCCACAAAACATGGTCATTTCTGTTGAATATAACCTATTTGATTCTCAATTTATAATTGCAAAATATTACCATCAATCTTATTTACGATCATTATCCAAGGAAAAGGTATCTGCTGTCACTTAGGTTCTTACAGCATCTCCTTCACAGGGTATAGAATTTTTAACAGTTATGTCATTATAATTAGTTCTGATAAGAGGTAAATGAGAATTCATTTGTCAATGACACATGATATTTTGAAAGATATGGATGGGACCTAATGATGATTCTGGTTGCTATGCACTTAAGGAGAGCCATCATCCTGATTTACCTCCATATAAATAACCCTAAGTTATTACAACTGAGCCAAGTCAATCCATAATAAATTCTCACATGAGTCCTCTTGGGACTGAACTATGTTGACTGATTCATATAAATCATTACACACAATAATGCTAATAGGAACTCTTCACTGACTTGCAAGGGTATCTCACACAAAGTAATTCTAACCATTAAGGAGGCTTTTCAGGAAGGATGTTATTCCCATGGCATTGATGGGGAAACTAAGACTCAGAGTTTGTTCAAGCTCACTAAAATAGTAACTAAGCAAAAATTACTAATCCAGGGCAATCTCATTTGAAAGTCTATGTTTTCTCTGCCAGACTACACTGCCCATCTATTACTGAGGAAGTTCTCAAGGATAATGGAAACCTGAAGCAGAGATCAAATGCCAGTGGAAAGTAACTTTAGCACTGATGATGTAGAGCCAGCTATCTCAGACAATACCCTTGAGTAAATAAAGGGTGGTCAACATGCCACAAATATCATAGTTGTGAATATAGGACTAAAAGAAGCCTACACAATATTTTACTTCATCCTAGGAACAAAGCACCTTCCACAAAAGATAGTCTTTTCTTGTATTTTATCCAAGAAATCAATGAGACTGACTTATATGTTTGTATTGCTTTCTACATAGTATCTCATTTGAGGCAAATGTAATGCAGAAGAGAAAGATGTTGGCCCATGTATAAAAAAGGAACCTATGGTGAAGAGTTTAATAGCTTAGGTGGTCCAACTAGGAAGTAATAAGAGCCATGACCCAAACTCTAGTGGTCTTTTCACTACATTCCAATTGTCGCTTTCTCTTGCCTCTGTATATTATTATTTTCTTCCTCCTTCTGCCAACTCAAAAAAAAAAAAAAAAAAAAAAAGATTAGAGGGAATGGTGGATGATTCCTCCACAATTTTAGATGAAAAGATCACAGTGATTCCAAGACACCCAACTTGAAGGATGGGAGAAGCAGCAAAAAGTCTTATGGAGATGGTAAGGCAATAATTTTTAGCGTCTCTAATATATCATGAACACTAAATAAGAAGCAGCCCAGACAACTCACCCACAATTTCAGCTCTCGTTGTGACAAAGCATTAAGAACAGTTGAATACATTATTAATACGGCAGCATTCTCTGAACCGGCACAGATCCCATGGAAAGAGTGACATGCCAGTCTGGCAACTGATCTGTTTTGCACAGGAACATAATACAATAGTCCTGGGAGATACTCATGTTTATTGTACAGGGTGTTTTCTTTCTTAAAGTTATTTTTCTTAATTATTCCAAGGGTTATTCAGAGAAATTACTATGAGGTTCCAGAATTATTTTAGGTAATAACTTCGAAATTCCTTATTCTAAATTTTGTAAAGTCAAAGTAAGATCTGAAAACTCAGGAGTTTCCTCTGCCCCAGGAGACAGCAGATGGCAGTGGGAGTTGAGTCCTGGCAGGCGTACCCTACCTGTCCGTCTCATCCATTATCACCCAGACCTGGCTTCACTCACTTCAAAGATCCCTGACTCCCTGGTGATTTGATGCAAATTAATCATGAAGTAAGTGTTGAGTCTTTCTCTGCTACTTTCTTTATGATTTTTGCAAACTATTATTGCCTAAAGTCTTAAACAAGAAATGTGGTATATTATAAATAATAAGACATAACTTTAAGAAAAAGGTCTTAGTTAAAAAAAGGTCTCATATTATAGAAATAATATATCTATAAGCATAAAATTTCCAAGTGCATATATACCTGGGATGCTATAAATTGATGCTAAAACCAATTTTCAACACATTCCTGATATTCCTCTTGGAAAATTGTTTTCAGAACCAAAGGTATGCATGGATTTAAAATATATAAATAGCTTTAATAGGGACAAATATTTATTCTTTGAAAGTAAATTTTATTTTGGAGAAATATATTATTTGAGGCCAAAACTACTTTTAAGTTCCTATAACATCTGCCCAATCAGGACGTCCAAAAAATTATTTTATCTTAACCTCTCCAAATTGGAACATATTATTGCCCCCTGCAATCCAACTTCTTTTCCTACTGTATCCCTTATTCTGATGTTGGCATCATGTCCACAGGATTTTTTGTGTGTATATCCCTTCTAAAAATCAGGTTGTGGTTTTAGAGACTAGGCATGTGTAAGATTCTTCTACGCGCTTACTCTAATTTGAATTGGTAGACAGTAAACATTTTTATCTGAAATAATACATTTACAGTTTAAAAGAAAGAAGGTCAGAGACAGGCATGCTGATGGTTTTGAGGCATCATGACCTTGTTCACAAACACAGATGTCAGTGAAAGGTGTCAGGAAATAAATCTGTGACTGTAATCACTTTATTTCTTATGGGGAACGATAAATTGAGTGTGGATAGAATAAGACCAACCCATTTTGACCTGTAAGTCTAACACAACTATTTCCAACTCTGGAATCCTGTGACATAAACTTTAAGAGAACACTTGCAAGTCAGGATGTGTTTGGGAGCAAAACAGGAGCTCCATATAAGTTAGAGACTGGCTAGGTGATAACTAAAACACACAGCCTTGTCAGTTGGTACCTGTCTTTGGTTCTCTGTCTCCAGGCGCAGCCTGGCCTCCACACACCTCCGAGTCTCCAGGAAAGCTTGGCGCTGGGCCCGGTCTGACAGGTAACTGATGAAGATTCCAGCTGTGTTCATACACATGAATAACACTGCCTGGGCCACAACCTAAAACAAACACAGTCTGGTCAGGTGCTTAAAACAAAAGCTATTTACAAGCAACAATAAAATACACAAATAAATATGAATTTCCAAGGTAAATCCTAATGTAGTAATCCACATGTTTAATCGCATGTTTGTAGAACTATGCCCTTCATTCAGATCTTGAGACAAATGTCATCTCTTCGGAGAGGGCTTCTTTCACCACTTTCTCCAATTTAGGCTTCTTTCTCCCCAGGTTTAGACTGGAGTCTTCATGGGAAACCTGCTGTGAAAAAGAGAGAATCTGGTTGACTTCTTTACTCCACCTTCTCTCTCTCCCCTTCACCAGCAAAAGCTTCTGGCTTTTAAGGGGTTGGAGAATCTGGTGGGAATAAAAAGAAGAGACTAATAAGAAACAGAAAAGGAATCCATTGAATACCTTTGACTTCGAATACATTGACTACTATATTTAGACTCTGGTGTTCTCAGATCTTCTTGGATAGAATCCAAGTCTTGTTTCTAACTCAAGAAAAGAAACATGTTTGTCTATTGCTTTTCATCTCCACTTCCATTATTCTATTTCTAGGCATCAAGATATGTATGCTTCCTGGACTCTTAAATTGGGCTTCCTACTTTTTCATTTGCCCCCTTTTTAACTACTCTTCAGTCAAGAAAAGCAGACATTTTTGAAGAGGGGTCAACACATGGAAGAAATGAACAATATAGTATGAATTTCTTTATTTTTATGGCTTTAGCCTGAGACCAGGTCACAGCTCATGCAGTGTGTGGTAGCTATAACTCCAATAGAAAACGCAGGTAGCTTAAAGAAGCAAAGAACAGAGTTCCAGACCACTGTAGCTTCCAGAAAGTGGGAGAAGAATTCCAAAAAGTAAAGAACCCGGTGAAAGAAAACCTAAAATTGTTTTATAACCTCTTAACTGAACCACATATGCATAGGGAAGACAGTAAGCAATTGAGCTAAGGATAAAAATAACTGAACTGATATTTGAACTGCAGTCCAAAAGACAAAGACTTTCTTTTGATTTCAATCAAGTTAATTACCTGCTAAAGTGAAACAGAACAAAACAAAAATCACTATTTCCAGGGGAATGTAAGATAATTCAGTCTTAACCACAGAGCATTCACAATGCCCAGAACATAGCACAGAATTATGTGACATAAAAATGAACATTAAAATGTGACTCAATCTCAAGAGAAAAGATAGTTAACAGACATCTATTCTAATCTGACCCAGATGTTGGAATCAGCAGGCCGAGATTATAATAGTTCTGACAACTTTGCTCAGTGACATTCTAGCAATGAATGAAATTCACTGAAAGTAAGTATTTTAGCAGTGAATGAAAAGAAATAGGAAAAGAAATAGAAACCTCAAAAAAAGAAAATTTCAGAAATGAAAAGCAAAATATCTGAACCAACTGGATATTAACAGCAAAACACAGACGATGGGTCAGTAAATTTGGAAATATGCCAATAGAATATAACCATTTAAAAAGAATTATTAATAAATAAATATTTAATAATATATAAATAAATAAAAATATATTTTGTATACTTTTGTTTTGAGATGGAGTCTCACTCCGCCACTTAGACTGGAGTGCTGTAGTGTGATATCGGTTCACTGCAAACTCCACCTCTTGGGTTCAAGTGATTCTCCTGCCTCAGCCTCCTGAGTAGCTAGGATTACAGGCACCCACCACCACGCCCAGCTAATTTTTGTATTTTTAGTAGAGATGGGATTTCACCATGTTGGCCAGGCTGGCAGGTCTCAAACTCCTGACCTCAAATGATCTATCCACCTTGACCTCCCAAAGTGCTTGGATTACAGGAGTGAGCAACTGTGCCCGGCTTTTTTATTTATATATATATATAGATAGATAGAGAGAGAGAGAGAGAGAGAGAGAGAGAGAGAGAGAGAGAGACAGGCTCTCACTCTGTCACCCAGTAGCAGTAGCACGATCTTGGCTCACTGCAACCTCTGTCTCCCAGATTCAAGTAATTCTCCTGCCTCAGCCTCCCGAGTAGCTGGGATTACAGGTGTGCACCACCACCTGTGGCTAATTTTTGTATTTTTAGTAGAGATGAGGTTTTCCTGTGTTGGTCAGGCTGGTCTTGATGTCCTAACCTCAGGTGATCTGCCTGCCTGGGCCTCCCAAAGTGCTGGGATTACATGTGTGAGCCACCACGGTCAGCCGAAAAAAATTTTTTTAATGATTTATGAAAAGGTTTTATTAGTTTGTGTGACAACACTGAAAGGCCTAACATACATATAATTGGATTCTCAGAAGGAAAGGAAAGAGAGAATGGGGCTAATTTGTTTAAAGAAATAATGCAATTCTTATAAATTTTATAAAGATACATATTTACAGGTTCAATAATCTCAGCAAACCCTACATAGGATAAATGTGAACAAAACTACCCTCCTTGCTGGGCACATCATAATCAAAATGCTTAAAAACCAAAGAAAATCTTGAAAACAGTCAGATAAAAATGTTACATATAGGGGACATATTCTTCACTTATGATAAAGATTTTCAGATTAGATAAGAAGAAATATTATATGTCCTATTTGTAACATATAGTCCTAAAATACATTGATATAAAAACTGGGAAGTCAAAACAAAGCTGGCTTTGTTGTATAAATACCAGACTAAAGATAATTTTTTGAAAAGGGCATTACTAGAGATAAGTAGGGTCAGTATACAATAATAAAGGGTTTAATACATCAAAAATACATAAAAATTCTGAACATGGACACATTTAATAGCACAACCTCAAAATATACACTGCAAAATAGGATAAAAGTCTATGTAATTATTTATAAATCTATAGTCATAGCGGTCTCTTTTAACACAATTTTCAGCAGTTTATATATCAAACAGATTAAAAAGTCAGCAAAGAGAGATAATTTGGAAAGCTCATATGATTAACAACCTTGAAATGAAACATTGATATGGTTTGGCTGTGCCCCTACCAAAATCTCATCTTGAATTGTAGCTCCCATAATTCTCAGGTGTAGTGGGAGGGATCCAGTGGGATAAAATTAAATCATGGAGATCGTTCCCCCATACTGTTCTCGTGGTAGTGAATAAGCCTTAAGATATCTGATGGTTTTATAAGAGGATTTTCTTCTTTCGCCTGGCTTTCATTCTCTCTTGCCTGCCACCATGCCTTTCTTCTTCTGCCATGATTGTGAGGCCTCCCCAGCCATGTGGAACCGTGAGTCCATTAAACCTCTTTTTCTTTATGAATTACCCAGTCTCGGGTATGTCTTTATCAACAGCATGAAAACGGACTAATACAAACATGCTATTCAATAATTAGATAGTAGAAATTCTTTTAAGACACGTATTGAAAATTTGTAAGATGCCATCTTAGGATAGGACATGAAGTTAGCCTCAGCAAATTTTGAGGTTTCATCTCCTGTTACAGTGTTTCAAAGAATCATTTCAGGATCTTGATCCTACTTGTTTAAAATGTCCACTGAAAACTTTGCTCTTGTCTGCAGCTGATTTGGGCACATGGATTTTGGTACCCATCAAGTAGAGTTTGACCAACTTTCATTACTCAGTCAGAACTGTGTAAGCTGAACTAAGTAGGATGTCAATGATTTAGCTGTTGTGTCTGCCATTAATAGTTGGTCCTCTTCAATTAGGACATGGATACAATTAACTTTTTCTTCACAGATTGATGTGGATTGTCTGCGCGGTGGGCTTTCCATCTTTAACATCATCTCATCCTTTCTTAAAATGAGTGATCCATTTGTAAACTGCTGATTTTCTCTGGGGCATTCTTTCTATGAACTTTTGTAAAGCACCAGTGATTTCACCATTCTTCCACCAAAGCTTCCCCATCAATTTGATATTTGTCCTTACTTCAATTTTAGCAGAATTCATGTTGCTCTGATAGGCATTCTTTTGTAACTGATATCTTACCCTTTTTAGTATCTCAAGGTGAATCCTGTTCAGACATATTGCAACGTTTGTATAAGTTTATCTCGGTGTAGAAAGTTTTGAAATCCATATTATCTTACCATAAATCCATCATTTAAATCTAGTTAAATAAACAACTGTGAGCAATCACTGGTCCTGTGGAGTCAGGTGGGCATGAACGTTTTAAAAATCCCTCAGATTGTTTAGTTTGACTTCAGTTGTTTTTAAATTTTATGTCATTGGAATCATATTTTTTACTACACATTATTTTCTTTATTCATTTTGATGCATACATTGATAGTTCCTTTATTTTCACTGCCAAATAGTATTTAATACACCACAAAATATTTATCTGTTCCACTACTCATGGACATTCTGATTATTTCCACTCCCATTCTCTTATGCTGCTCTGAACATTTTGGGCACGTTCCTGGGGCACACGTGCAAAGGCAACTCTGGGGTGTGGAGTGGGAATACTTTGTGCTAACCTGATGGATACAGAATGGTCTCCTATTATGATTTTGATATCAGTTTCCCAGATTACTAACATTTTATGCTGCCTAGGTTGTGGGGGAAATAGTCACTCTCATACCTAGTTGGTGAATGTGTGAATTTGGCAATATCTATAAAAATTGACAATATTTACATTCATGAGTTCAGTAACCCTAATTATGTAGACTTATTTCATAAATATGACCACCCATGTGCAAAGATCAAAGGATATAATAACATCACTTACAATAATAAATAATCAGAAATAACTTAAATGGCCCTAAACAGAGGATTGGTTACATTATAAATCCATCCAGTTGAAAAGTGGGTGTGGGAGAAGGAAAGAATTAACATCTACCATCATTTTTAAATGCACAGACACACTCAAGTTATTGGGAAATTCTGGGGACAGAAACTGAAGCCTGGGTTTATAAACTCTACCTTTTTGGTTTTTGTATATGTGCATGTAGTGTACCTATTATAATATAATGCATTGTTAAAATAGTAAAATGAAAACTCCCCATCTTGACAATAAGGATCATTTGATTCCTTCAAGGCCATTTTGTACTTTTCCTCACTTTCTCA